CGCACCTGTTGGGGTTTGAACCATCAGGCAAAATGTGATTCAAACCACCGGACGGGCAAAGGGAAAAGGTTATTACTGACAGCATCGCTAGTATCCGAAGCCGCCTCAAAGTCAGCGCAACTTGTTCGCCTACTGCCCATTCCTCGCGTCATCTGTATTCCTTAAACCATCCTTGCTCGATTCTTCGACTAATGTATTCCATTCATTTACACACCGGGCGCATTCGTTCATTAGCGACGCTGCGAATTTAATCTTGCAGTAGGCGTTCCATTATGCATAGACCACTTGACTTAACCAATATTCAGCCTAATCGGGCCACTTACAAGGCCCCGTCTCGCACGTATCTCAACCTGCCCCGTCTGGCTAAAAATCACATAGGCCTATGCAAATATGGCAATTAAATAGCATTTTGGATCATTTAATCAAGTCAAAAATAGCGAGGGACGTAACATTATAGGTACGTGACGAAAGGGTTTCCGCGAAAAGTTATCCAAGGATTCAGAATATGATAAGTGCATTCATTACGAACGCTGAAAAGAATAACATCTTCGATAACATGCATGTCGAGGTACAAGACTTATTACAGGTTTCATACACACCGCGTAGGGTATCGGCCAGTTGTAATTCCAGTCAAATAAAGGGGGAACATTTCTGTCTTTGAGAATACTTTTTGCTATCTTTAGTAAAATATCTTATAGCACACATCTATAAGCCCTACTTCTTCAAATGACAGAGAAAACGTAAATAAATTTTGACACACCAACATCTTTACAACAAATACCTCTGATCATTATCAAATCGAAGTTCAGTTTTTAGGTACTTTCTATTTTTGTTTTCTTTTTTCTTTCCTTTTTTTCTGCTATTTTTCCTTGTTTGGGTAATCCCTTTTCACTGGATTGCATGCACTAATCGCCTCCTGCGTATATACCTGCCTTGGTGCAAACACACACGATTGAAATGCCGCCTGATGATATCGTAGAAAATGAAATTGAACGAGAATACGGAGTTCAACAAATTAGCCGCCATTTGGCGAGATTCGAAGGAATAATTATTACCAAAACGGCAGAGCGCACGGAGAGAGGAAAAACTTGCCTCGGAACAAAAATGCTTCTGGTGTTTTGTAAAACTTGTCTAGGTATCTGAGTCAAACTACGACCAATGAACACCTAGCCGTCCCGCTAATAAGCTCCTGTATAATACGCGTAGACTATATACATCTCTCTAATGCAATTTGAACTTGGGTGACGGGACGGATTCGAGTAAAGAGTAGAAATCAGTGACCCGTCAATGCCCTGATCCGATTGGGACCCGGTACGGTATAATGATCTCAAGGTGCCCGGGCGATGAAGAGAGCGCGTGGGGTGAAACAGATCAGATATGAAAAGTCCGTTATGCATAGGCGGCTGGCTAAATTAATAAAGGGGGAGGTAAGGGGGGGGGGGGTACCGGGGTTGAACCTGTCAAGCAATAGGTGTCTCTTAGCGTTCTCATGGTCCCGGCGGCGTAAACAAAACTGAGGATTATACTGTGCAGGCAGAGGGAGGATTCTCTTTGCGCTTAAAGGGAGCCTTGATGTAATAGCGTGAATAATTCCTTGATGCCAACCCTTAATTATCGGTCACCGCGTGGAGAGAGTGGCCTTGGTGTTTGACCGGCGCAATAATCACGGCGGCCGCTGATTTTGTGACCGCGTCCAGCAAACCAAGATTCAATTTGGTACATTTGCGAGATTTGGTATAGTTTGGTATTCAAGCGTTAGCCTTTTTTGAAATCGTTTACAAGAAAAGCAAAGTTCGGTTTGTTGTATATAATTGTTTTTTATTTCCTTTTCCAAATTCTCACGCATAAAATGTAAAGCATTGAGATGTAAAACACTTCGTTTCGTGGTATGACTAAGTCTTAACCCCGACCCATGTTGACTCTTTGTTTCGTATAGTCGCGCAAGCTAATCCGACGTACAAGATGGTGCGGCATATTAGGGATATGTTGTTAAAGCTTTGAAAACTCTTTCATTGGTTCGTTTCGTTGTACAATTAAGTTTCGATCCCGACGCATAAGATGTACGACTGTCCTGTCACATTATACAGGGTGTTTAAAAAAAAAGGAAACCGAGCTTATTTTGTTGATTTCTCGGGTATGACTAATTATTTTGGAAAATGGTAACCACCGTCTGTTACGTAACCATCAGAGAGAGAGAGACGTTATCAGGAATGCGTTCACAGCAATGAGAACCAGGGCAGGGATTTGCGTTGAAAGGAACGGGGGGCATGTTGAAGGACAGTGGGGTTAACGGGGACAGTGACGAACCTTGATATGTTTTAGCAATTGAATAAATGACTTTGATAATGTACGTCCTGCATTTTGTTATTTTCAACATGCTGAAAACTGTCAGTTGGTCTTATGGTGCATGTGCACCAAGGCCATTTCTGGCATGTCAGTTACATCACTTGGTGCTCAGTCATCCGTGACGGTAAAATGGAGTTCCTGGTGTCAAAAAAAAGAAGACACGGTTATGGAACAGATGGTGGTTACCATTTTCCTAAATAATTAGTCATACCCGAGAAATCAACAAAATAAGATCGGTTTTCTTTTTTGAAACACCCTGTATTGTTCAAATTTTAATTACACCTGATCCGATTATCGTTGTATAAATCATTAAGGCTCTACTTAAACGTAGACGTATTACATGATATTGTTTGATGTTCTAAACACTGACCCATTAGATGTGCAACATTACCTTCTATATTGATTCTTCGTTTCGTTGTATCATTTAGTTCTAAATCCTGAGACATCAGATTGAAAACATTATGTTGTAATGGCTTTGATAAATCCCATAATGTTATCACGCAACCGTGTTGGGGCTTGTCAATCAACACGTGATAACTATAATGACTCATTACATTTAAGTGCGTTAAAGGGGACAGGTATTTACCGCATAATATGAGCCTTTGAAGAGTTTAGAATAGTAGTTATGGGTATCAAATAGTTTATCCTGAGTCGTTCCCGCTTCATTCAGTTTTCATGGTTGGATACTGTATTCCAAAGCTGTTTCTGATTATAACACACAATTATTTAAATTGAATAAAATATAATTAAGTTACAAGTATAGGCCTATTTTAATACAGAAAATACTGCGAAGGCCACTCAAGTATCACTGATGCCAACAAAGGAATACAATGTATTTATAAGTTTCTCCACACTCTCAGCACACATGGTATTGCACATGCATTATTGACGCAAAGAATTTGTCTTTAATACGAAGCTCTGCATTATAAACTGTGTAGGCCTACCAGGTGATGTCCAGACTTAGTTAAGACGGAGACAATTTCTAATAATTACGATTTTCATATCACAAAATTACAATCAGTGTTTTTAATCAAACGCTTATATACAATGCATGAAATCATTCCCCCAAAAAAATATGAACACGGTATTGAATCTTAATGAGATGAAATGTCCTTTGCAATATTTGAAATAATAGTCGGGTGCCTTCCAGACTTACATGGTTATAATACCAGTTCGTCTTACAGGTTTATATATTTTGAAGGAAAGTGAAACGGGCACCCATGTTCAGGTTTCTGAATCAAGTTTGTATCGCGCTGTAGAGTCAGTTTCGGCCGGTGCCTCTTAACATTAATTACAAATGTAGGCAGCGAAAAAATATCATTAATGTTACTCTTCACTGTTCTGTGTTTCATGAGACATTGTATTTTGGATTTGATATCGTTGAGATATGAACATTCTTCCCTAAAAATCAAAAGCTCTTAAGAACAGTTGTGGGCCCATGACACGCTAGATCAAGACATGTTTAACAGGCCCATACGTGTATTTTAAATGGGTCGTTACTTTTACGGTATAAAATTGTCATTTCGTCATGCTTTATGTCTGCCCTCCTAACAGAACGTTTAATTTCAGACGTGACTGACTCTACGCGTCATATGTGACAATTATTTGTCCAAATGTGAGTATGCGAAAGTTTGAGTAAGAACAAAAAGTGTATACCTTTATTTGCTTATTGAATAAATGCAAACAATAACACACAATAGGCGTGCTACGCGCCTAAAAAATGAAAAGGACGTCTGAATGGAAATATTTGAGACGTCTTAAGACAGTTTGCCCCGGCATCTTAAAAAAAACTTTGGCATGTCTATGCTTTCAGAGGTGATGTTGTTTAATTCCGATAGACCAGGAAGTCACGCTCGGCTGACGAGATGAGTTAATTTGCACTGACTTAACAAGAGCAGTCGTGATATCTTCGTCACGCCTCGTTTGAAAAATACCGACCGCGATTTCTCAAATTTGCTCCCCTTTTGGAAAATTACAAAAGGCTCCTGATTTCTTGCAGGAAGTTCAAGATTAATCAACTTTCAACTTCCTATGGCGCTGCGGGCCATGTTTCAATGACGGCGGCAAATTGTAATTAGGAAGGGTCTCGACAGGGCGGTGTGAAGACAAATGATGCACGCTTCCTGTAGAACTTTCTAGAAAACATGCAGCGTATTTTGCATTTGGTTTCTATGATATTACATAAAAGCCCATCATGTTTTCAAACTTTCAAGTTTGATAAGTTGTGAAATATTAGAGACATGAATGGGAAAAAAAAACTGGTCGTTACACATTAAAATTCTACCTGAGAGAATATTTTGATACATGACAATTATATCAATAACAAGCATGGAATATGGTGTGCCCCAAGAGGTGCTTTATCTGTTGCAGTACATTGCACAAGACAGAAATGAAAGTAGGACATCACTGCATGAAGTATAATCCTCTCCATTTTGCAAAAACGGGGGTATTGAATTAGGTTTAATGTCCCTGACAATAATCGATTCGTAGACTCTTTCAGAATTCGAATATACATACCTATTTCATTTTACACATGTCATGGGGTTAGTAATCAATACATCTCTCATCCCTGCGCTAAGCAGAAAGGGATTGGTCCGATCTCCTAATTCAAATTTTGTATATAGCAGCAGGAGTCATTAAAGTGGTATTCTTACCTTTTACAAACGGTGTCTTTTCAGTGTCCTTAGCAAAGGCAACTGTGGGGGAAAAAAAGTAAAAATAAACAATTCTGTTGTCTTGAATATTAATGCATATAGCTTAGGTGCTGAAAAGGGTTAGTGGTATTTCAACTTGAGACAACCTTTTTGCTCCTTTTGTGAAAGTGCTGAAAAATAATCAAAGATTTGGTAAAATCATACAATCAAAACATTTCAGTATTGGTTTTAATTAAACGGGAAAACATAGGTTATAGAATCGAGTCCACTTTGTCATCGTACGTTAACTACTGAATACGTCCACGCTGTGGTAACCTCGAACTATTTCCTCTGGTAACCACAGTTCAAATAGCCCGAAGAAAAAAAAGGAAAGTCGATAGCCTTCAACTGCAGCACTACACCATCTGCCAAGGATTGAATTAAATATCAACATCTATAGAAGATCAAATCTGCTACAATTCCCCCTAAAGACTAGGACGCAATTCAATAGCACCTGCTATTTTGATTCGGTCATTTGTTTTTCTGGGTTTTTTCACATTAACGTGAACGTTAGGTGGAATTAGATACATTTGAATGCGGGTAACTTTTAGAGCTTTTTATTGCTTTTCAAAAACTTAAAAGCACTGGGTATTTTTCATGTTCTGTTAAATAGAAAATGAACGGTCCTTCGTTTGATATATCCTCCTCCTCGAAGCTGGGCCTATAGCCATCAAGCTCAGTTACACGTAGTCAAGTTGGCATGTTTACTTAAAATACTCTCATATTGTTAAATGCCATGCCGTCTTCGTGATGAGTTCTTTCTTGGTAGGTATCAGCTTACTGAATAGTGGTTGATAATTATGTTCCTCCAATTCGTGTATTAAGGTTACTGTGTGAGACGTTCATTGTATGTACAGCTATAGGCGCTGTCTTGATGAAAAGGGGTATGGTACTGTTTCATTTGTACATTGTGAGTGGGTATGTAATTCGGTCGGTGACGTAAGTAATGTATGTTCCCGTCACCCTGCGATTGTTATAGTATTGCTACCAAACAGTATCTGTGAGTTAGCAGAATACATGATTATCTCCTTTAATGTTATGTTATTCTCGTGTCACGTTGATCACAACAGAAACCAGGAACCTCGAGACAACCAACACCCATCCTACGCCAAAACATGAACGTGATAAACTCCCCCAAAGCGTCTTCTATTGCCATTTAAACTTTTCACAAAATGTCAGAAATATTTAACATCTTTCTATGCTCTTTTATTTTTCTCACAAGTTAGCCTACAAAAATGTATTACCTCCCAATATTTCGTCCGGAGAAAAATCCTGTAAAGCGACGTCATTTGTTTACGTAATAAAAATTGTGTTCTGTATTAAGATCATAGCCGAGCAATATTCTCTCGGCATAGTTGCATAAACCCACTTGTCTTGGAGGGACTTTGTGATTATCTCCTCTTTCAGTGGCGTTGTAACCATCCCTCCTTCACCTTGGCCATCCCTAACGGTCTCCGAAATCCAGCCGGCCAAGTAGCGGATATTTAAGAATGTGCCCCTCTTCAACACATCATTCAGGGAATAAAAAAACACCTCTTGATTTACTGCACGGGCAGCGAAGACGAAGGAATTGAAAACATCCCACATGCTTCTAGATGAACGTGCATAATCACTTCATTACCGGTCAGGCAAAAGATCTGTTTTGCAGAAGTACGGCCACGCTGTATTTCTTCTCTTCTTCTACTTCTTCTTCTTGTTGGTCCTTGTAAGGAGAGCACCACGCTCCGTCTCCCCCGAATGCATAATCGGGACCCGCATCTGCATTGTACATCGCACTTGATCGCGTTCGGCCTTGGGGTGTTTTTTAACTCCGAGCGGCCAGCGGTGCGAGCACGGGGATACCAAGTGGCGTGGAGGGTGACACGGTGACACCACCGGCAAGTTGAAGCGACGGATCTCGGTGAAGATGTTTATCGGTCTGGTGACCAAAACATATTTGCTTTCACCAACTTCAAATTGTTGTAGTGTCTTCTTTATCCCCAATTTGTCATTAAAAAAAATTATAGTCGTCATTCTGAAGCTCAAAAAACATTCAAGTGAAAATTTAAAACTTAAAATATAATTTTGGGTTTAAGATCGAGAATACAAACATTTTAGACTATTTTTGACATGTTAAAATAAAAGTGACAAAATCCGATTAATATATTTATCTTGAATTATTAAATTATCTCTGGAAATTTTGGGGGTCATTAATAAACTTTGAAGATATTTAAGATGAACCTTTACAACAGTTTCCGTTACCTCAGAAACCACTGCAACTATTCCATTGTGTGTTTGTGTACACAGCCGTCACTGAAAATATGGCAGCAGATGTATAGCAGCCTTTTTAAAAGACGAATCAGACGTGAATTGGATCATTATTGTTTGTTTAAGAGGGAAAAAACTGTCGTAAATGCAAATAGTGCACAACTAAAATCCGATACCACAAAGATAAAAGTTGATTAAAAGTGCGTCACTTACCGTGCAAATAAGGTAGAACCAAAACTGTAAGAACGCTTGTCCACGCAAACATCCTGACGCTGACCGATCCTGACATCGTTCATCAACTCAACTGCTATCTTCGGTAGACGAACATTCATATACGGCCGGTGCGCGTGGACGTGGCCACGTACCGAAGCTAACACACTAACGTGCGGCGTGAAATCAAAACTGCTGTTCCCGTGCTAATATTTACGAGTGTGTTGCCGATGAGATGCCGGGCGAATTGGGTTTGGTTGCCGGCAGGCTGCCGGTAGTAGGAGAGTCCCGACTCGGCAATGATAATGTCCAAGGGATGGTGCACGAATGCGTACGAGATTTACATGAGTCCAGCCTATAGCTATATCAAATCAGTTCACGCATACACACCAGATACACAAGCTGTCAGCATAACTAGCAGGTATACACATAATTTCGTATTCATAAGATTAGCAACCGCAACATTTGCAGGTAGGGGCAGCGAAATGAAGCTCAACAATAATTGTGGATACACGCTCGATTATTATACAGTACTGACTTTCGAATCGTATGCGCGATTAATTTTACAAAATCCAAAACTTCACAGCGGTTGGCAGTGCGGGAGTGAAGGTTGGATTATGCGTTGGGAGCAAGATCAGTCTAGCTGGTAAGGTGACGATAACGAAGTAACAAGCTGATTCCGTTTCTGTTTGCCTAGGGCAATGTGACCGTGCGATGCATGTTCACGCGGAGGCTGATCCGAAGACAGTTCCCGGCTAGAGTCCGGACCATCTACCTCCACTATGGCGTGAGAGAAAGTTGCGAATGCCCATTCACGGACAGTCCGTCTGACAGAAAAACAAACAAGCGATGACTTCTTTATTACTGACGCCGCCCAGTGTCACGATTCACCCGGTAAATGAGGCCTTTTATCCCCGCAATCGGGTCCGGACAATCACCGCGAGGTGTCGTGTTCGGTAACCCAACCGTGAAGTCGCCATTGAGATCATTCAACAACTGCTAACTGTCATCTCGAAAACAACACTTTATAAACCACACGACTCTCGGAATGACCATCACCGAAAATAATTCCAACGTCATGAAGTGGTCACCCGACTGAGACAGTCCCACTTCTGGACTTCTACTAGACTGGTACCTGCCTGGCAAAGACTTGTGACAGGTAGCAGTCTTCATGTGCACGTAACCCGTGATCACGTGATAAACATTCAGCTGATGCGCACATGCAAATTAATACTTCACATAAGTCACACTGCCTGCATACCAGTACACTTCACAAAGATCATCAGTCGCAAATGTTGCACAAACACTATAGTACATAATACAATGTATCATGTTAGTACAATTATTGGTAAATTGAGGTATAACGCCAAGTGAAATCCAAATACAAACCCGAGCAAAGGTGTTTTGTAGCTTTGAAAGAGCGGCCGCATGGTTAAACGTCTCAGTTTAAAACAACAAGTGCTAGTACACAATAAGCTCCGGCCCTCTTGCCTGAAAGTCATGCATGAAATGATTGTGCGAACAAGAGCTTAAAAATCCTGATTACTCTTAAGCATTTTAAGGTTTAATTGTAGACTTACCGGTACACAAATCTGGGTTTCTCACTGAAGCAATGCGAGAAATTAACCGGCAGTGGAAAAAATATTATTTGCAATTAACACTACAATGTTGACTTCTCCCCTCTCGTCTTTTTTTTAATTCTCTCTTTTTTGAATTGCTTTTTCGGAGGGAGGGGAACGTCCACCCTCCTTTCACGACGCCCATAGCTGAGTTACCTAACATTAGAAGTTAACACCCGTGGAGAAATTCAAACTTACACATAAACTGAAAACCGAATGTATTGTTTTTCGTACGGTTTGTGATTGACCTCTTGCTTAGCCACTGATGATGATTACGGCTATCCCCTGACGCCATACCTCGTTATCTCTCCAGTGATTGATTTCCAAACCAGCACAATTGCCTCGTGTTTGTCATCAATTCATGATGCCTTGAAATCACAGTTCATATCATTCCTGTGGCACGAGCTCTAAGAGCTAGATAAGTCAGTGAGCCGTTCAAGTGAAAGTACCGCTTAAAAACTTAACATGTTCGGCAAAATAAGATGTTCACTCATTACACGCAATATGCGTGACCTTTTGCATGTTAAACTATTTTGTTGTTACTAAATGTTGTGAATGCACAGTGTTCCATGCTATAGGAATATAGTCTGGAAACCGAATTACTCCCCCCCCCCACTCCACTCCCTACCCCCCAAGGGCGGATCCAGAACACAATTTTTTGGGGGGACAAAAACATTTTTGGATTCAATGTTGGATTCTAGATGCTCTGTGGTGCGATCTGAGGCAATTTCTGACCACTTTAACCAATGTGGTTTTTTTTGAGGAAAAGATGGTGGTGTACTCATTGCCTGCCTTTATTGCGATGTCACATAAAAAAATAAAAAATTGGTCTCGTTTTTTTTGGGGGGGGGGCATGGCCCCCTTTGCCCCCCCCCCCCCGGATCCGCCCTTGCTATCCCCAGGGGCGGGGCGAGGTGATCGGGAAAGAGGGCGCTTGCCAGTTTGAGCTGTCACGCCGTTTCGCCACCAGAGGGAAACTTTCATTCATGTTTACACTCTGTGCATTGCAAAGCTTCACAGGAACACTTTAGCGTGGTATCGATCATGTTTAGGCATAATGTTATTTCTGTGAAGCTCCGGTAGGCCTAGGTCGCTCGCTCTCTCGTTCAACTTGTATTTACCCTTGAATTTAAATATTCAGACACAACGCCAAATGCAATGACTCCCACTAATGGTCGTTATAAAAGACAAGGGTAATTGAGTTGATTTGTCAAGATCTGAAAAATTAGCCACAGTTGTATCAATAAATTAAACACCAGAAGCAATAAACAATCTGATAAAATATGAATTCTACATGTTATCATTTTGCAGTTGAGCAGAAGGCATCGCAAAAAAATATTACAAGCTTAAATGATGATGAGCCGAGTGCACGATAAGGCACGGCACCATTAACATTCCTCACGATACTAAACATGTATTCAGCTGATGTTCTCAATCATATGGAGGTTGCGGCGACGGTACTCCTCTAAAATATAACTTGAGGCTATGGTGATCACGTCGGCGGCAGACATTTCTAGTGTGATCATTTCCCCCTATCGCATTGCTCTTCAGATGAAAGTATATCGAATGTTGCATGCATTTTTGGCGCGAGAAATATGATTTGAAGGTTTGCATCAGTGGACGTTTGCGGGTAACAAAATCAGGTGACATCAGCACTCTTTCTTGGAGTTAGGGGTATCTGACAAGAAGTGGTATAAACGTTTGGGCAGTAGGCCTACATGCTGTGTTCAGAGAGAGGAAGGAGATTTCTCGACAATTCTTATTCAATGTTGTCCTACGAAATTTACAAGAGGAGACAAGCCTATAAAGCTGGACACATGACACAATGATGACTATAGGCTGTTCATCTGCGAGCAACAAAAATTGAAATCATGCATGTTGCACGGCTTACATTTTCGTCTGAGATCTAATTGAGCCACGTGAGATAGCTATTTGTATATGAGGAACACACCTATAGATATTGGAGCGAGCCGTGCATCTTTTTACTATTCATTTGTCTAACTCGTCCATTTTTGGTTGCGAAGGGCGATTTTAAAGGTTACGTAACACTTTATTTTGAATGAAACTACTTGTACACACACATGTTCACATTGGCGGGCGAAATCTTTAAAAGTTAATTTCTCACGTTTGGAAGACCGTATCTTCATGCAACTGTCAGAGTTTATTTCCCTTATAATGATCCAAGTATGTGCTAAAAATCGTTGTGATATGTTCTTTACTTTTCGTTGAAATTGGAAAAATAGGTCTGACTACGTGCATATTTGAAAGCTCAACACTGGCTTTAAGCAATGTCTGTCAATCTTTTCAAGCCTCACAAATGTTAATAAGGTTCCTATCCATTATGGTGTGCAGTAAAAATGTGCATGAAAGTCTCCTTCACGAGTTATTAATTGATAAATATCACCCTTTTTGCCGGCTTCCATTGGTCGATACCGAGACCAACGCCACGTCACGCCAGGTTACGCTAATGAATATGCTAATATACCAGTCGTGCTGCGCTAGGCCGAAATTGGTCAACCGTAGCGCCTACGGCGCTCTGAAAACCATGCAAGTGGGTTGGGTCGCAAAAATCCTCGTCGAGATTTTCCTTAGAGATAAATCGAGCTGTAACACAAGCGTTAGCAACAACAGATTAAGCTGAGATTTGGTATATACTTAAATGATATAAGTGTTCAACTACTCGTGAAATAACAACCTTCGTAAATTCCTGGAAATTGATATAACACATAGATTTTGGGACGTTTTCGAACGATTTCTTCCAGACTTGAAGATCTGCTTTACCACTAACCATGCAGTATTGAGGTTTCGGCATCGATGACGGCAATTTTGTCACTGACGTGAAGTTTAGAATTTCTTCTTCCGTTATAATTTAGCATTTCAATCATACTGAGCATATCTTCTGAGAAACACAACGTCCAAAAGGCCATGTTTTTGGGGGTTTTTTTTTTGGGGGGGGGTGGGTTCACGAATTTCACTGCTCTGTTACAGCGTCTAAGTACGTACTTAATCGGATTAGCTTTACTTGACAACCAGCCAAGCTTCACCCTCGCAACCATATGGCTGTGTAGGCCTATAGACATCAAGGATACATTCAGGTCTGGAAATACATGTAGTTCCTAAATAACCAGGCGATTTATGCATCTTAGGGTAATCACACTACCGAAAAAAGGAGGTTGGGCTAATAGGTTAATTTTTTACCACATACATTCCATACCATACCACATACCAACTGCCTGCACTTGGGGCAAATTCAGTACAAACGCTTGCAATTTTAAACTGGGCATGGGCAAAAGACATTGCCATGCCCGACAGGTTTTTTACCTAACAGGGAATTCGTCCCTTTGTTGGCCGCTAAGTTTCGCGTTCGTCTGATGTAACACAGTATTGATGATGATCGATCAGGATTTCGATTCACGCACAAATAAGGTAACTTTTCACATAATTGGAGATTTCCAATATGATATTTCCAATATTATAAACTGTATTGCTTATCTTTGAGAGGAAATAAAGGATTCATTAATTCAGCATTTTTAAAATGAGCACCTAAGGTACCACCAATTCAAACTTTGCTTGCAAACATGTAACAGTTTTAAGGTTTGATTATAGTTGTAATTAACAGTTTATATCTTAATATATGGGGTGTGTGAGGTCTAATCTGGTTCCCATACGAGATTTATCTGCCTATTTTGACAAGTCTTGGGTCTTGTATGCGCCGATATCACGTAAGTAAATAGTTGTATTAATCGTCGGATTTGAAGAGCGTCCCCATTGAAAGTATGGTACGAGCCCCCCCCCCCCCCCCCCCCTTCCCCTTTTTATTTTACGGAGGCCAAGTGTCCGGAGAAAAAATCTGTCTACATTTCAGAATTTTTGGCTGATGAAAACACCCCCCTGCAAAAATTCCTGGATCCGCCCCTGCGATATTATCGTCACGTGTCAGGAAACCAGACTAAGTTAAGAAATTAAAGTCCTGTGGTTTAAACGATGTAGGGCCTACATTTTTTTAAACAACATTTTAAACGTAATCGCAGTGTGTGAGGTCGTACTAATCTAGTTCCCATACCGAGCAGGTTCAGAAAATGCAAGAAGTTTACCTATTTGTTTCGTTGATATTACGGCATTATCGTCACGGGACAACAACGTTTAGAAATTAAACTCCTCTAGTTTACATTTAACTACGTTTTTTAACTAACAGTTTTCGTAATTGCTTTTATTTTACTAAATCTGGTGGGTTTTTTTCTCAAGATTTTCTCTTTTCATTTTTAAATACAGTCGAACACCTTTATAGCAAGGTCCTTAAGACTTTACAAATAACCTTGTTTGAACAGGTACCTTGTATTAACAGTAATGGAAAACAAAGAAAAACAAAGACTCGGGACCTCAAATTGTTCAAGTCCTTGTTATTAGCAGGATGTGCGGTATTAACAGTGCCCTTCTTATCAGGGTTCGACTGTAAATCTTTTGTGTGTGGCAGAAATTCCATCAAACGAATTTTAGTTATTTATTTCCGTTTGGGTTTTTTTTTGACGCATTTTTTATTTGGCATTAACTTGCGCAAAATCTGAACAGCCAGTGTTTCCGCATTGAAAATTGTCTTCTTCAAGCCTTCTTTTCCAAAAATATTAAATGTTCATATATGGAAACTTTTCGGGATTCATCGTTAATGTCTCTCAAACATCCCGCAAAATGAAATGCACCCTGCCTTAAACGCGGTGGACTCGAACCCTATCAGGATCAGGGCTTTTTTTGGGGGGGGGGTGTCTTCCCTGGAGAGCACAAACACCACTCTCTGGGCGCTTTCGAATCCCTGTTCTTGACAACACGCGTGTAACACGAGAACGTGTTCTCGAGCTGGTTGTTACGAACGCGCGGATGCGTGTCGCATCGATATAAAGCAATGCAAAATGGCCGACAATCGTCTGAATTTGTACTTAGGCCTATTCCAAATGAACGAGGACGACTGTTGCAAAACCGGACATGCGGGGATGAAATTGCAGACCTGCACTATAATGGTATTCTTATTCCAATCATTAGGGTATTAGCAAAAAAAAATCACACAAAACAATTTACGAATCTGCACAGTCCGCCATTTTGTTCAAGCTGCACCTCGCAGAACCCTCCATCAACCGGGGAGTGAAAAAATCGATCCGCGAACGCCCTCTCGGGTCTGTTCGTCACGTTCGAGACCGCTGTTCTCGTGTCGGGTTAACCCGAGTGTTGTCAAGAACAGGGATTCGAAAACGCCCGGGGACCCCCCCCCCCCCCCCCCCCCGAGTCTAAGGGCTACCAATACAGCAAGGGTAAATTCATCCATGGGCTCACCAGAAATTTGATGTTTGGTCACGTGAATCCAATTATCAGCAAATAGCTTTTGGCCGCACTGTATGTATATTTCTTGTTAAGATTTTCCAAATATTCGGCAGAAATGTTGGTTTCCCTACGTTAGCATTAAGCTGCACCGTGGCCACCATGAGAGGGCGCTGTTTTCATTTTTTTTTGTCTGAGGACAATAGAGGCTGGCCCTTTGGATCAAGCAATAGGTGTAGAAAAGTGACAATTAAATCCAAACAAAGGGATGTGGGGAATAAAGATATGTCTTGGTGGGGGGCGGTCTTTATGCAGTGTTTCATCACCTCTTCCACAAAAAATCAGGCACCACAAACGAGGGGAGGTTTTTCACATAACATGGACATTATAATACCTACAGTTGTATAGGAGACGAATAAGTGGTTTCTTTGAGTTGAACTTAATTTTAATAATAATTCACAGTCACAGGCAACACAATGTGGCCAAATTCTAAACATCATTTACAGTAACTGCTAAAAACATTGAATAAATACAAATATTTACATCTTTTCTAATATAATATTAGAATTGTTTATTATAAATAAATGGATACTTATGAATATTATTCAATTCTAAATTCAAAACGCCTTCAATATTCTGTGAGCACTCTGTTTTATCACAAAAAATACTGAATGGATGTATGGATAATTCATAAGAACAAATTCAATACACAAATATTCATACAAAGAACAAACTGGATGTATGAATATTCATACAAAGAACAAACTACAGCATGAATAATTCATAACTATAATGAATAATTCATAAGCTGATCCCACTTTGGGGTCAAAACGACAGGAAAAAATAAATAATATCAACAATTTCAGGGTGTTTAACAATGCCTAGGACGCTCTGCATCAATCATGTGTTGCTGATCTTCTGCACAGTAAAACCATTCTTGCCGATCACAACGTCCACAATGGGGCCAGACACCTTGGGCAAATCTTTCACGTGAGGAATCGTATCGATGTCCATATTCTGAAGATCAGGAAATCCTGTTCAGTTTTGGGGAGAAAGAAGCGAATGTGAGTTTATATAATTCATTTTTTTCACAGCATTTGTGCTGGTCCCAGAGAGAGGGTAATCCAAGTCCTTTTTAACCTGATTAACTGACTGACTGACTGTCGCTTGTGAGTTAGCCTGGATGTTGGCTGTTAAACGGAATGTACATCATTGGCTTTTGCTGTAATTTTCAGAAATGAACTATTTGAGGGGTTAGTATAATAGATCAGATATTGTTACACTGACAAGTTTGAAGTTTTGTGTTCGAAAATACTGGAAAAACCAAGAAAAACAAAAATATTCAAGTAGTCTGGTTCCCTGACTCCACTAAAGATGAAATGGATCAATTTATAGATGCCAGAAAATTGTAAGGTAATGGAACCAGTCTAACTGGCCTGCACCCGTTCATGAACATGTAACCAATAGCAAACAAAATTTGGACCCCAAAAAAATTGGTAAATTTGGAGCAGTAGTTAAAAAATAGTTAGGTTTTTCCAACGGTGGTCGGCCGACCACCGTTGGAAATTTATACAACAAATGCCACTTTTCTTGAAAGTGACTTCACACATGGTACCATAACTTTACAGGATGCTTTAGACTGTCATTTACCAACATCCTAGTAAGGTATTTCGTAAAAAATTGGTAGTTTTGTTTTTCGATGTTTGCAAATGTTGTATATTCCCTTTAAAGAGAGCCAGGCAGTATTATCGCATATTGGATAACCCCATAATGGGCTCAATCTGGCCCACCTTGACGTCCAGTGAATAGCCATTCGGAATCATTTGAATAGCACTGTGTGCACTCAGGGACCAGCTTTACTAGGCTTGCCTCGTCTTGTTGGAAGAGGACTGTACATTTGATTTTGTAAGAAAATAGATCTAAAGCACATAGGGAACCTGACTAGGTACACATAATATATTTTTGGTTGAGCAATACAATGACCTGTTGAGGATAACCTTTCCTGCAACTTCTCCTAGTTATTAACTTGCATAACTCCTAATGTTCAGTCGATTCCACGAGGATTAATCAAAGATGCACGCATATATTTGAACACGTAAAAACGATAACTTTATTAGTTTAAATGGGTTTTTACCTGTTGAATCCATGTCATAGGACTGTCGGCTTGCATGACGGCCTCTCTCATTGGTTCTGCTTTCTCCAGTTTTATCTTTGCTCCTGTGAGATATGAAATCACAGTTACCTTTGTGATAATCTAATAAAACAAAGCAAGCCCAGTAAAACTGGCCCTAGAAGGCACAGAATGTTTTTAACATGTTTAAAATCAATTCAGAATAGGTATTGGCTGGAGGTCCTTCCATTCATGTTGCCTACACGTTGGGCTGGATTCGGTCCATTCATTGGCATTTGGGGACAAACATATTTTGAGCCATGGCAAGACTTAAGCGATTCTATTTCACAAGTGACAGTCGGTGAGTCAGTCAGTCAATCAGGTCCAAATTTAAGGCGGACATGCCAAAAAAAAAAAAAAAAAAGTGATCCATTCTGATCAATGACCATTTTTAAAATCTCGGCTTGTCATTGAGAAGCCTTTACAACTCAGATAAAATGGAATTAACCAGAAACTTTGGTGACGTATAGGTTTGGATGTTACAGAAGCAGGAAACAGATCTATGGTGAGGTGAAGTCACACCTAAATGTATGAAGCTGCAGCCTTTAGCCATATTAGCCATGAACTTTGCCAGGTTTATTAAACCTCAATCAATCAATCAATGCATTCTCATCACCTTAATTCCCCACCCACCAACCCCTCTCAGCTTCATCCCAAGAAAATACTTCACATCAGCAAGACAAAATGGACCGGAGTGATCTCCATTTTGCACCAACTCCATTTGTTGTGAAGATAGTCCAACACGTAACAAAAAAATAAGGCCCAGCATTTGTAGTTCTTGGATAGATATGTTGACATCAAAATCACTTTTCATGTGTGGAAATCAAATAAACACTGCAGCCCAAAAGTAATGAATGTTTGATTAAATGTCATTCACCTCTTCTGTTCTTCATGTGTTGTTACTTGCTGTGTACCACTACCATCAGCTGTCCTGTTTCCAGTAGAAGCAACATCTGATCTGTCTCCATTGCCCGTCCTGTCACCAGTTCCATCATTCACTCCCTCTGGCAAAGGGTCTGCTGTTTCTCCATTTCGATCTGTTAATGCTGGAGTGTGCCTATCGCTCAGTCTTGCCGTGCAGGCTGTTTTTAATCCAGAGGGTGATCTTGTTGGATTCTCCACTTGTGATTGATCCTCAGGGATTAGGACGCTGTGCAGAACTGTAAGGAATATGATGGGATTGTGGGCTTATTTTTAAGACCTCAAATTAAATAAGTAAAGATTAAAATTTGTAATTCAAAACAAAGGGTTTTTAAAGAAAAGTATATTAGAAATCGCCTATGGCACCCCAGTTACAATATTGAGCAATTGAGAAAATATTCTATCAGATGAAAAATAACTTGTTGTAAATTTATAGTCAAGAGTCAAGACCACAATGATTCTTTTGGCATGTTGAATTGGGCAATTTGTGAAAATCCCTTGCAAGATACCAGGAGTTAAGGCTTAAAGAAATAGCATTATCTTTTCTGAAATGTACAATCAATCACGAATGTCGTCATCATTTTCATTTTTTGACACTTTGACATGGTTGTCTCAGACAAAATCACGAATTATCATTTTCTAATTTTTCACAATTCATTCTGGAACTGAGGCAGCTCTCTTGTAATTGAAGAAAAACACCAATTCAGTTAGAAACCTATCCAGTTTCAAGATTCATTAACCCGACTCCTGGAACATTTTTTGCCAAGAAACCTTCTCGAATCTTCAACATGTGCATCAATCCCGTGGAACATTGAAACTATCGGTTCAAATGGCAAGGTTCTATTTTGCTGAACCATGCAATATCCTCCAAAACCCCCTATTGAATTGTGAGGAATCTGGGAGGTTTAGTGTTACTGTGTGGTCTGCAAGAATAGTGCCCAACTGCCCTAATTTTCAAAGAAGTGTTCAAGTTGACCTGGCTACCTTTGGGGATGTCTTTAGGCAGAAGAAGAAACTTGCTGATGGTTGTTTTATGGGCGCTTTTATTCTTGAGACAGGCGTCGATGAAAGCAGCGTGGAAGACAGTCAGGCATCCAATCAGGTAGTCCTCTGTCTTAAATAAACTGAAGGTGCAAGGTGCAAGGTTATTATATGATCTGGGCCCAATTTGGTAAAGGTGCTATGCAGACAATAATGCTTAGCAAAATGATATTCTCAGCTAAACTTAGCTGAGAAGCAGTTACAACCTTTGTACTAGTCTTAGTTCCAAGACGTCCTTAGCGGTGCGATGTTACAGCGCTCATGGGTTATTAGACAGTGCAGCATTTCACCGAAGCGGGTGCTACACAGATGCTTACAAGCAGCAAAGGATGTCTTGGGAACCTTGTTTTTCTGCTTGACAGCTTGATTGTTATCTTGACGGCTCAGGCAGTAAACTCTGTCTGTCCTCAAAATTATATATTCTCATAACGACAGGCAGGTCATTACTGCACTCTTTGAAACATTGAGGTAACACCCATCACAACTGGTTCCTCAACAACCAACACTTCTTCATGGAAGAGAATGATTGTGTGCATGTTATCATCGGCAAACCTCATTCTTGCACCCACCCCACATTGCAAAACAACCGCACCTTGTCTGATCACCAAATGTTAAAAGCGGCATTAAATCTAATCAAGATATGCACAGTTGTGGCTGTGTTGTACATGTTATCGAAAGCCGGATGAATTCATAGGTAGAACAGGTACATATTCTACCTATGAATTATCAGGTGTGAACTCTCACCTTTTTGTGTCCCAGTCCTCCACATCTTGACTGAAAATGAACTGCGCATCAGGAATGTTGACAAGCCTGCCTCCATGCTTCACTGAAACAGTAATTTACAATTCGATTCAAGCCACACCGAATAAAATATTCATTAATTTTTTAATTAAGAAATAAATTATAAACTCAAAAGGGCACTTTTTGTTTGCAATTTATCTTTTTATAATTTAAAGGGAAAATACAACATTTGCAAACATCAAAAAATAAAACTACCAAATCATTTTGAAATACCTTGCTGGACTGTTAGTGAATGACAGTGTAAAGCATCCTGTAAAATCATGGCACCTGGTATACTGTCATTTTCAAGAAAAGTGGTATTTTTGTATCAATTTCCAACGCGGATCGGCCGATCAGCGTTGGAAACAACTGGCTTTTTTTTCAAATACTGGCCCCAATTGACCATCGCACTTGTTTGCAATTGATTACAAACCTATGAACGGGTACGAGCCAGTTAGACTAGTTCCCTGACCTTACAATTCCCCATTGTATGTAAACTGCTCTGTTTCTTCTTATATGGAGTCACGGAACCAGACTACAGGAAAATGATCGTTTTTCTTGGTTTTTATAGCATTTTCGAACCCAAAACCTCAAGAAAGTTAGTGTAACTATATTTGCTATATATTTCCAACCCCCAAATTCCATCCATTTCTGAAAATTACAGCAAAAGCAAATGATGTATATTCCCTTTAAGCAAAAGTTTTAAAAGTTGTTTCTAGCACACTTTCTTGTAAAAATTGATCTAACTTTTAAACAAAGAATAACCTTACCCCAGAGTGCTTTTCTTCGAGGTGAAACACTCCTTGCAAACCAGGCCGATAGATTGTTGAAGACTGCTTGCTTGTCCATGCTTGCAATTTTGTTGAACTGATGTGAGCTCAATTGATTCACCACAGGTATTATTTACTTGCTAATGTCACTAAGGGAAAGAGAACATATAGGGAGGAGCCCTGGTCAAAGAGACGGTTTTGCCACTTTGTCTATTTTACGACTTCTCCTGGAAATTCTATCAAATAAGATTTACTCAAAAATGATAAAGGATTAAGTAAAGTTAGTTTTAACTTCTGACAGTTGAGCTACATGTAAGTTAAATCAATCAAATGTAGCATTTAATCACGGATATTCTGATATACTTGTCTCAAATATGAGTGATAATGAACAGTTTTAGTTCAATAACACTTCCAGTTTTAAGACGTTGTGAAGCATTCCTTAAAAATGAGGACAAAATTGACGTTAAGGTTATTGGATTCACCTAGGCACAGTTGGTAATATTGTTAAACATAAAAGAATGTGTACTTGTGGGAAAAGGGCCTTTTTTAATCAATTATTTTTTATGGAGATGACCATTTGGGAAAAAAATGTTGCCTACTGAGTACTGACACCACTTCTTTTCAAAATTTGGAGTTAAAAATGCTAACGACATAACCCGGTACTGCTGACTGCAGCTTGCCACGCGATTACTGCACCGTCAATGCTCAAAACTTGATTCACATGCATGGCATTATCAACATTATTAACTAAAAAATCACATTTTTCTCTTTATTGCTAGAAATTACAACAACAAAATTATATTTGTTAGATTGCCTGTGGTTGCTTAATTAAGGGGAAAAAATGTTGCAACCTGACGCCACTTCCGCGATTGTATACAAAATCTATAAAGAGTCAAGAAAAATTTCTAAGTATCCTAACAAAAAATTGGAAATGTTTCTCAGTCCCAGATTCGTGTCTTAACTCTTATGACTTATCATCATTTGTGCAATGAATGACCTTTATTGTATGAGATGATATATGAAGAAAAAAGTGGCGTCAGGATGCAACATTTTTTTCTGAAACGCTGTCACTGGCACTCAGTCAGAGTGGCACTGGCAGCCATACCGCGCCGACGACGATTGTGCACAGACAGTGCACAGACTACGTAGGTTTACAATACAATTACACTCCAGCATGTCCATCCAGTCGCTGTCCACTCGCTGCTTCACAAAGTAAACCCTAGCCGGCCCTAGGCCCTACAGCTTCGGTCCCTAATCTGTAACCATATTACTCGTTGTCGTCCAAAATAACATCCTTAACTGCAACTTAAAAATAGAATTTTATGCTCCTGAAAAATTGCATGATTTGAAATACCCGCCAAGATTTGTGCTGCACTCTCCTGCATCTGCTGCCTGGTCCATGGGGGCTGCCATGTTGGATTATCCCATCACCCCCTGCGCTTCCGGCATTTTAGACAGCGAATATATATGCTCTTTTGACAAAGAAATTTCAAAATGTTTACCAATATTTCAGTTTTTGTTGTTAATAAAAACACAATGTCATTTACATGGTTCCATTTTATAATTTAAGCGTACAGTTATTACTTTTTGAATTCATTTCAAGAAAATTACGCCTTATTTTTTTTGTGCGGATCAAATGAACCCGGTGATCAGTCGGTGCTACTGTTGAAGTGTTGGTTGTCCGTGAGTACGAGTCCAGAGAAGTCACAAAATGGAGAAGAAAAAGACGGAAGAATGCCCCTTTTTACCCAAAGGGTGGAAGAAGGAAGAAGTCATAAGAAAATCTGGTCTGTCTGCGGGTAAAACAGACATTTACTATCACAGGTAATTGAAATGCTTTTGTTTAATAGCTTGGGTAGTTTTCGGCACCCCTCCACTCATCTATCCCACGACCCAAGTCGCATGACCATGATGACCTCGTAGCTGGCTACGCGGATTGGAGTCCCGCTTGACTGCTCACCTACAATGCGCGAGCAGTTCCCGTATCCTCGTATCCGCGTAGCCACTCCGATCCTGAGGACCAACTTTGGACTTCAATTTTTTCATCTTCCCCATTCAATTTACGTTGTAGGCCTATGCAAGTACTGTCTACTGATTCATCCCTTTGGAGGATTTTTTCTATTAAAAGGGAAAATAGTGCCCTCTTGCACCCTCCCCGACTCAATCCCACTCCCGGTATCTGTGTAGGCCTAGCTGTCAAGCGCAATTTGAGTCCCCCACGCAAGTTTAAACTTGCGCACGCAAATTTAAACTTGCGCGAGGGACTCCCGAAGCACGCAAATTACACCGCGCCATTTTAATTTGCATGCGCACGTTACAACTTGCACAAAGGCGATCGCAATTTAAGAACCTTGCGGGTGGGATTTTCATCGATGAAGAAAAAAAATGTTCAAAACACGAGTACATGGGGAAATAAATTAATAAATAATGGAATAAATTAATGAACAAAAAAATAAATTAAAAGGGGAATTGAAAAGAAACATTGAGATTTAGCAGTGCTTATCAGAGAGGTTTTCTGAGGGGGCGGGGGCGGGGAGGGGACCAGGCAAGCAATCAATAAGCACGCCGATTGCTTGGAAAGTGTACTGAAGTTGTTCAATAATGGAGACCAGCTTCAAGTTTTTTCGCCTTGTATTTACTAATTAGCATTTTATTTATATTCTTTAATTTAAATAAATCGTAATTTCTTAGGGGTAACCCGTTGTTAACGTAGAAAGAATAAATATGATCCCTTCAATTGTTTGACGTTATAGTAATCATTTACATTATTTTTTAAATGCTTTAATTTACATGTACTGTGACAATTAAAAAAGTACTTATTCTAAAAAAAAAATACTGATTTAATTAATTTAGCAATTAATTGGACGGTACAATAATTAGGTGTTGGGCCTCAGTCCAACACCTATTGTTATTGTAAGAATTTACCATTTTTTTTATTATTCTTCTAGACACATTCTTCTCCGGAACTGTTTGTCAAAATGAAAACATATATGAACTTCAATTGTCAATACATGAATGCACAACCAACTGAAGATGTGCTTTTTTGCAATTACGTCATCATGACGTCATCAAGGGTCACGTGACGTCACTTCAAAAAATAATCAATTTAATCTTTGAAATTCAATATAAAATCAACCGTCAGAGACCGCAACTTGAATTTTGCGGGAATCGACATGATAATATATGATCTTCATTTTATCTTGTGCGCGTAAAATCACGTGACCCTTCCTTCCGGTCGAAACCGGAAGTGCCTAATAATTTGAAAGTGGAAAAAGATATGAACTTGCTTTCAACGGTGTTGATGTCTGCCTGGATTGACCTTTCAAAAAAAATAATTGGTGACGTCATGAAGAGTTGGAGCGCCCTCTAGCGGCAGGTTAAAAAACGCGAAAAACGCATTTTCACTTGATGTCTGTGGCGAAGTTTGCGGTAATCGCTTCAAAATTCATGTACATGATGACCTTAATGCAGACAAGACCTGTGCGCGAAAAAAAAATTGATTACGTCATCAGACCAGAAGTTACAATAAAACGACCTTTAAACCTTCAAAAATTGCTAAAAAATCAACCGTGATAGATATAATCAAGATTTAGCTAACTATAGCACAGTTAAAATAGCTCTTGAACTTTCTGGTAATGACGTCACAATGACGTCATCAAGTATCATATTACAAACAATCAAAGATTTCTAGATTTAATCTTTGAAAATCAATATAAAATCAACTGCTACAGATTTGATTTTGTTTTTTATAGCAATCGATACAATATTGCAGGGTCTTCATTTTTGGTATTAAGTGCAAAATCACTTGACCCTTCCTTCCGGTCAAAACCGGAAGTGCCTTATTATTCGAAATTGGCAGAAGATGCGAACTTGCTTTCAAAGATGTGAGTGTCTGTCTAGGCAGTACTGTACAAAAATTTTACAGGTGACGTCATCAAATGTTAGAGCGCCCTCTGGTGGCATGTTGAAAAATTCAAACATGGATTTAAACATGCATATTTTGAGTTGATGTGTGTGGCAAAGTCTGCGGTAATCCATGGCCCAACACCGTGTGGTTGTTCATACAACCTCTAGTTCATTTTGTTTTTAAAAATACTTTGCATAACACTTCGAGCGCTGTGTACACTTAAAAAATGCATAATTTAAAAAAAAATAATAACTCATTACTAATTTAATTAATTAATTTAATGTATTACTTTAACAATTATTTCATTTGCAGGCTCATTAATTCATATTAATGTTTACATGCTTTAACTCAAAAACGCTATGCACATAAAATGGTAATTATTTTAAAAAGTAAATAAATTTATTAATGATTTAATTAATTTATTCAAATTATTACTTTAATTAACTAATTCGAATTAAGGAATAAATATGTTGTTTATTAAACAAAAATCCTAATGAGCCATAAACAATAATACACATCATGATGCAAATTAAGTGCATAAATTGTTCGCATTACCACCCCTTATCTCTGATCCTCTACACAGTCAACCTCATTAGCATAATACTGTTAATAAAATGTTTCAAAGAAGGCATTGTCTCACGAAGCACAGTGGTGCTATTAATCGGAGAAAAATCTGCTATAATAATGTTATTTTCTGCATGAGTTTACCAGGTAAGAAATTAGTTTAGCGGCTTTGCATGCATGGGGAAAATCTATGTAGCACGCAAGTTTAAACTTGCATGCGCAATTTGTAGCAAGGAAATTAATGCACGCGCAAGTTTAAACTTGCCTGCGCACGTTTAAACTTGCTCACGCAAGTTTAAACTTGCGCGCGCAAGTTCAAACTTGCGCGGGGGACTCAAATTGAGCTCGACAACGCCACTCCAGGGGACCTATTTTGGACTGTTCAATCTTGCCCATTCAATTTAGGCAGTGTATATTTAGCCGGTGCCGGCTTAATTTAAGTAAATGATATTTTCCCAGCTAGGCCTATTGACTGAGCATGTTGAGCTAAGCACTGAACATGCGCATTGCACAGTGACTTTTTGGGGGGACTTAGGCCTAGATATTTTTACCGTGTGTGTGACAAATCTCAGTCTGGTTCCACACCAACATTGTCGTTGTGACTTCTTATTCACAAGATGGAATCACACCATTTTACAATTTCGGAGCCACGAATCACAAAAGAAATGTAATGCTCCGTAATTAAATGTTGGAGTCAATTTAAAAAAAGAAAGAATATTCTTAATTCTTTGGGATGAAAAAATAATTGAAAATGTCGCCAGCAGGGGTTTGAACCAGCATGACCAGGGATCTCTCACTCACTAACATGTCCTTATCCACTAGACCATCATCGGGTGCTGCACAACGTTGGAGGCAATTTAATACCTTTTATAATGCGCTGTGCAATCTGGCAGGCTAAAATATCGTTTACTGAAAGAAAGCTGGCTAAACTAGCTGGCTAAACACACTTCCTTCAATTTACATTGTATGTAGGCCTGCTGATTCATCCCTTGGAGGATATTTCTTTTTAAAGGGAAGATAGGCCTAGCGCCCTCTTGCGCCCCTCCCTGACTCAATCCCACTTCGTATCCCCGTATATCCGCGTAGCCACCCCGGGAGATTACTTTGGACTTAGATTTTTCGGAGCTCATACATACCAGGGATGTGGGTTCAAATACGCTGCCGTGCTGGCACGCTGCAAATTTTTTTGTATAAGTCTAATGTAAGTCCCCCGGAGTGGTATGTGCAGAGTTGGACTTAGAAGGTTTATTGAGGGCAATCAAACGTGACTCCGTAGCCGGCTACGAGGTGGATAGATTAGGCAAAATTGGCGGATAGTTTGTCCAACAATAACCACAGTATTTTTCCTGTTTTTTTAACCAGGTATGTAGCTTCCAACCACAGCGACATGGATCAAGTGGAAAACAGTCTAGATTTCAAATTCAGGAAATACATCATTTCAAGAAAGCTAGCATGATATGTTGATGTGTGGCTCACAATACCGAACAAGTCTGGTATTTTAAAACATGTTTATGGGGCTACTCTCTTTTTGAAAGTACAGTATTAGTAATTCACCCCCTCCCCTCCCCCACCCAAAACAAAGATATCAAGGCATCTATATTTGTCAGACCAACTTTGCAGATGCAACACATACTTCAACCCAATTGACAAGAAACTTGATTTTATTATGCAGTCCGTGTGGGAGGAAGTTTCGCAGTAAGCCCCAACTTGCCAGGTTTCTTGGAGACGCCATTGATCTGACCTCCTTTGATTTCCGGACGGGCAAACTCTTAACGTCAGGAGTTCGGAAGAGCAAGAGGTTAAAAAACATCCATTATGACTACAACAAAGGTGAGCAAAAACCCACGATTTATAAAATGTGATGAAGTAGTTTTCAGACTTAAACTTAACCCTAACACAACTCAACCCATCAAACCCCAACAGCATGTATTGTTAGAATCTGTCAGGATGGGTACTAGTACCCCTAAACTGACAGTCTTTTACATTGGGTTGGTACACCTCCAGAATCAAAGTCAGAAATATGTGTGTGCAGTTTCCCAAGTGGTGTTGGAATTTGCCAGGATGGGTATGGTTCATGCTGGGGAGTTGGGGTTAAGGGCATTAATTTAAACAGTTAAAGATAATACACAACATTTGTAAACATCAACAAAAAAAACTACCAAATTGACTGTAAGTGAATAATAGTCTCAAGCATCCTGTGAAAGCATGGCACCTGGCGTGCTGTCATTTTCAAAAAAGTATAATACTTGTATCAATTTCCAATGATGGTCAGCCAACCATCGTTGTCAAAAACTGACTTTTTTCAAATACTGCCCCCAATGTACCAAATTTAGTTGTCCACACATGTTGTTTGCAATCAGTTACACATCCATGAATGGGTGCAAGCCAGATAGTCTGGTTCTCTGACTCGACAATATTTACTATAAAATACTAACCCTCATACATGTATATCTGTCCATTTCTGAAAGTTACAGCAAAAGCAAATGTTGTACATACCGTAGGCCTATTACCTTTAAAAAACAAAGGAATTGATCAGCTGAGAACTATTCCAGTAGTTTGAATAGACCAATTGCATCTGACATAACAGCTGAGGGCAGGTCTTTGTTCTTCTGTGACACACATGAGTACACATTGCTTTATTTTGTCACTGGATTAAGAGATGACCGTGCAAGCGGTTTATTACAAAGACAAGTTTACTTTTTGATCACAACGTTTCCCCGTTTCCTTAGCATTTTACACGAAATGGCAGTCCAAACCAATGATAAACGTTGTCTATGAGATGAGATAATGATATAATGTGCATTTCTTTATCACACCGTATTTTAAGATAAGTGCCTGTGCACTTACAAGTACCTATTGAAATACATACTTAACTCTTCTGCCGTTAAATTAATCAACATGAAACCTGTGACCATTCCTCTTCCAGGTACGCGGCACGACATCAGTTTGGTTCTCCCAATACGACAGACAGCGTCAATCTTTAAGCAGCCCGTCACACTGAAGACCAATCATACGACCAATCGTATCAAGGCTGACCCAAAACAGGACACCAAGGAAACACCTAGACAGGTACATGCAGTCCACTTGCTCCATCCGACAAAATCCCACAATCAGAGATGCCACTTTTCCGGTTTTATCCGGAATTCCGGTTGTTTTTTAAAATCTCACAAAATTCCGTTTTTTCCCCTTCTGGTGTCGATTGAAAAAAGAAACCGGAACAATATTGAGTGATTTTCAAAAAAAATCTGTTCTTTTTTCCGGCCGTCAAAAAGAAAAGCCTGGAAAAAGAGAAGAAAAATTGTGGAAATGCGTTGATTTTTACCTCGTAAGGGACTCAAGTTTAGTACATATCGGCCTACTTGCACACGCATGCACGGCACAATGTTGTTCGTTGAAGTAGTCTTAAAAAACCAAGTCTTTGTTGTTGCCGAGCCTGCATGCAATACAGGCGGCCAACGTAATTGCACGCAATATACAATGGCGCCTCGCGTGCATGCACAGCGTGCGGGTGTGTTGTGTGCTAAGCACACGTAGCATTCAGCCTGGAAATCAAGTCTATGATTTCAGATTTCGGTGGGAATATGTGAATACAAAAAATGTCTGGTACCAACCATGTTTTCGTCGCGCACATCGCGTAGTACAAAGGTCATGTACACCAACAGTGTTGTGGAATCGTGCATGTTTCGTGTAGAAAACGTTGGAAATTCGGATCGGGTAGGTGGAATAAATAATAGGAATATGAACAATTCAAAGTGATTGAACGAACCGACAGCTTAAAGGCAATAGAAGCAAAAATAAATGGAACTGGGCTTGGCTACAAGAGAAAGATGACAACGGGGACTTTGTCTTTGTGTCGGAGTGGCTTTTTCACACACAAAAGCTTTTGGGTTTTTTTAAGCAGCTGTTCAGGTTTTTTCAAGCAGACCCAGTTCCGGTTTTTTTTAAGCAGACCCTGTGACATCTCTGCATAATGAAACTCAATTTGTGAGATCAGGACTAGTTGAGCCGTGTAGTAGGTTCCATTTGAAAGATACTGTGAAACCTTCAACAAGCCCTGTTGGGCCCTGCTGTTTACTCCTCAACCACATTGGATTTGCAACACATGTATGTTAAACTACATGTATTTTAAAATGTAGTAGAACTCTGAGAACTGCCACAGAGAATTGGTTATGTTGACTTTAAACATTAGCCGGTTCTTTTTTTTTTTTTCTTGTTGAACATTTTTCTTTCTTTTTTATTTGTGTCTGAAGACTTGTATTTAGAATTTTTTGTAAAATAGGTTGAGGTACACGTCTATGACTTAGTTCACATATTTGATGCTAAATACATATCCCATACTCCTGCTCCTTACACTTCAAATCCTACTGGAGGTTTGGAAGGATTTTACAAGATTGTGGAAGGCCATGCCATTATTCATGGGACTTGATGCCTCTTGAAACGTTTAAATAAAAATTTGTGCCACTGGCGTCCTGTGCAGTTGTGGATTTTTTAAGGATTCACAAAAGTTCTCCGCAAAAGTAGAGTTCAGGGTTAAAGAAACCGTGCCAGCAACAACTTACAGGGTTCCCCCCCCCCCCCCCCCCCCCACCCCCAGGCTAAATAGCATGCAGTGGACAGATGGCCATCACTTAGTGCCCCTTTGTACATATGCAAGTACCCTAGATTTGTATGGCATATCATCTTTGATCCCTTGTCTTCCGTCTTCAGCTATTCTGGGAGAAGCGGCTGCAGGGCATGCATGCTTGCGACATCGAAGAAGAAATCCTACAATCCATGGAGCTACCAGAGGGGCTCTTTGGTAAGTCTGGATGTAAAAAAGATTGTCAGGACTTTTTTTAATTATTTCAAGATTATCTTTGACTTTTTTTCAAAGGCGGTACAGTGTAACTCACTTTTTTTCATCAAAACCTACAGTTGTCAAAGGGTCGAACAGAAGTAATGACTAAGTTAAAAGGATTTGCTTGCTTGTCTTAGGAGATTTCATAACCAATTTTTTATTGGTCTTGCGATATGCTCCCAAAAACTCTGTTATATAAACCCTGTGTTTGGACTCCCTGTTCATTTGTTGTTTCAAAGACAACATGTTTTTATACAAAACAAGTATAACTGATGGAGTCCTATTTACCAATATTAGTGTTTTGTTTTTGTTTATAAAAATGCAATAGCAAGCCCGTTTCAAATTCCTTTCTTCAAGAGAGCAGCATGTATCTTCCTTGGTTCAAAAAGAATGTCTGCTGTTGATAATTGCTCCAACAAGAGTACAAAAAACCAAATTTAGATCAAATGTGAGGCTGAAATCCATGTCTTTGATACACAGCGGGCACATACAAGTTTCCATGTCCAATACAGAAATCGCTTATTTAAGTTATTGGATTCATCTATAGGTATAACAGCAGCAGCAGCTGCAATTTGGTTCTCAATCAATCGCCTTTTCATGAAAAGCGTAAACTTTCAGGCTGAACCAAAGGAGATATAAACATACTTTGGTTTTGGCCCAAACTTAAAGGCACATACGATCATTTGCATTTATACCAAAAGTAACTTTCCGAATTAAGGAATCTGGTTTAAAGAATGGATTAACGATCGTACTGGTACTAAACACCCTGTAAAATTATTCCGTCTGGCTTGCTGTCATTTAACAGAAATCAAGAAACTTATGTAGATGATTTTGTTGGAAATAAAGAGACAGTTCCATGATTAGTTTCCTAATTTGTTTTGCAAAATCTCTTGACAGCTGTTGGTCCAGACATGTCGGAGGAAGGTCTTGTACAGAGTATAGCATCTAGCTTACATCTCAGTACTCAACCAATCATGGGCCAGACGGGATCACAGGTAAGCTTGGCCTCTATGCAGGAGCGACTGAGTGGGAGAGAGACTTGGTGTGATACTAGAGCAGATTTCATGGTGCTGCCTAACGTTTAGCAAAACATTGTGGTAACCCTGAGCGTATTTTTGGAAAAAATGCTGCATCCTGACGCCACTTTTTTCATTATATATTCTCTCATTGAAGGTCAGTCATTACAAAAATGTTGAAAAGACATGAATCTGGGACTGTAAAACATTTCCAATTTTGTTAGTAAATACTTTGAAAATATACAAACAAAGAAGTGGCGTCTGGATTCTACATGCTTGGACATGGTAGAACTGGTGTTTACATACACACCTAAGTAGACTGACTGATCTGTGCTTCCCAAGAGCATGCTGTTAATTTAGCCGAAATCCACACTCGATCGAAGGCATAATTAGAGACACAAACATACCCCTTTTCGGTAAACTTCCCTTCCTTGGATGTTTCAGAAGAGCATCTGGTTCGGATCAAGAGTTTTTTTAGGGGCACTGTCAACTACAGTGCACGAACGAGTCAGCAAGGCGGAATAAACTCCACCTCTTTATAGCCTGCTAGGTCTTACCTCTTTACACCAAATAGCTACACCAGTAATTTGAGGAACCAGCACCCGATTTCATCAAACTCTTCGTAACTTACGATGCATCGCAGTGATGCGATGCGTCGTATCTCTACGATGCGTCGCAGCTGCGATGCGTCCTGCGATCCATTTCACAAAACACGTCGTAAGTGCGACGCGTCGTAGGTGTATTTATAGCACAACTCAGTGACTGTTTTATGTATTTAGTCAGCGTACAGTAAATAGTCGTCTGATATTCAACAAAGAGTCGTTGGATCTCAGCTCGAAATTTGTTAAAACGTAAAACAAAATGGCGGCTGTGCGATGCAATTTTGAAGGAAAACAAACTCTCATTGGACTGTATAGCTACTTTGAAATTTCAATTCTAATATTCCGGTCTAATTCATAATTATTCAATGAATTTTCTATTTACAACTTTACACACATTGCCTCTGTATTATAATCTCGTTAATGTAATGTTTATGGCATAAAACTGGCTTAGAATTGACTCTTCTTATTTTGCGACGACCACTAGACACGTCTTAACTTGCGACGTGTTTTAAGCCGTTGTCAAGGAACTTACGACGCGTTCAACACATCGCAACTTTCTTGAAATGGAAGATACGACGCGTCGCGAGTTGCGACGTGTTACACGTCGTAACTCGAGTTGCGACGCGTCGCAGCGCTTCGTGAAATCGGGTGCAGGAAACTGAGCTACCCATTTACCCTGGTTAAAAGGGGGTCTACTAAACCATGGTCTGGTCTATGGTTTCATCTTCAACAGTCCAAGAATGATAATTGAAATTGAATGTGTATTGAAAATACACATACCATTAGCTTTGCGTGACAGGATTTAGTGTCTCCAATTCAGACAGAACCAATGTCATCCTGGAGTCTTTCAAGTAGGAGACTAAATTCATGAAGCCAGCTGTAGCCTGAAGCTGAAGAGATTTGTAAACCCCACAGATTATATAAAAAAAATTATTATTAATTATTATTAACAGTGGGCATGAATAAGTAAAGTGCAAGTGCCCATCACACTGGGAATCTTTGCTTCATCATGCAGGTGACTCAAAACCCACTTCCAGACCCGTTTATGTACAGACCACATTTCTGTGTTTCATTGGGTGCTTTTGAGTAGCTCACCCGGATCGACTCGGGTAAAGTCAGACGGGTTAGCCACGACAGCAGGGCTAATTGAAGGCTCAACCGCTGGCCATCATGATCCTCACGTGACGGCCATAGCCACGGCTGTAGCCACTGACAGAATGCCCGTTTCCTGCTGGGTCTCAGTTTGAGATTTACTGCTTTTCAGTCAATTGCAAAACTCAAAAAAAAAAGCAGGGCTGGAATTATAGCCTCAAAATAATTATGTTTAGACTTCAAATAAAGTTGCTTTTGGGCTCCACTGGAGATTTCCACTGTCCGGACGCCATATTTGTCCATTTCTTGGAATGAACAACACATGCGTGTGATGTATTTCCACCACTGACTCTGCTCCATGAGCAGGGTCTGTGGTGGCTAACCCAAGTGAGCCCTGAGAATGACGTCAGAGCCAATCGGACGGCACTTGGCTGACCCGTGTCGACCTGGGTGAGCTACTCGAATGCACCCAATACAATACTGCACTGTAGTATTAACACTAGGGTTGGCTATGCACACTCTGCAGTGTTATTGAACTTGTGACACAAAACCCTCACTCATTCACACATAGAGTTAATTAATTACATGTAGTTCCACCAGGATGGGACATCCCACTTTCGTGACCATATATTTGTTATAGCCCCCTCTGTTGGTCAAACCTGACCAGCCCACCAACCAGACTGCATTGAATAATGTAACACAGTAGCATTAAAGGGAATATACAACATTTGCAAACAGCAAAAAACAAAGCTACCAAATTATTATGAAATACCTGCATAGTTGGCCGGCTGGCGTTGGAAAAAAACTGGCTTTTTTCAAACACTGCCCCCAATTTATCAGATTTAGTGAGTCGACATTTTGTTTGCAATCGATTACACGCCTACATGTATGAACGGGTACAAGCCAGCTAGACTGGTTCCCTGACCTTACAATCCCCCGATGGCTATACAGTAAACTCCGGCTAAACCGACATCGTATAAACCGTCATATCGCTTAAATCAGCCATCTGACGAAAGCCCCGATTGTCTCTAATGCATTTCCATTGACATTTTCATTTCTAAGCCAGCCTTTGTACATGTAAGTCGCCATTTCGCCTATGTCGGCGTGTTACTTTTAGTCCCATTTCCTCAAAACCACAAAAAATCCTCTGTATAAGTCGGCATCGTGCTCTGCGTTTCATGCAAGAAGTGTCGAGTGAAAAGTCCCACACACTGCGGACTGACATCTGTTTATCAATGGCACGGCCCGTGATTGATGCATCGGCCAGCACGTGTACACTAATCGTAGGTGTACACTGTTTCATGCACAGTTTGTACATTGTGTGCATTGTTCGCTTACACGTGCGCGATCAAAAAGGGGTTTTCCCGATAGCATATCAATACCAGTACCCCTTCTCGACTGCACGCATGCGCTCTGTTCATTTTGGGGGTCCCCTTATTGTACCAGTAGCATGCACACATTTAATTCGTGGCTGTACACGTACGTACGTGCACAATGTACACTACATGTACATGGACCATCTGTTCCTTGCTCTATGCATGGACGTACAGTATGCAAGCGATCTGTATATCTTACCACTGTTAACGCTAGCCGGCCGCGCCGTTCTTGCTTCGTACGTACGTACGTACATGTACATGCATGACTTTCTGTGATCAATACCACAGCCTGTTTGTGATGATAAACATTGAGGATATATTTGCTGGAATCAACCATGGATGTAGAAATAAACCAGGGTAAATCAAAGCCTTTGAATTTTAGCCATGAATCTTGTTTGCATGATCCAGATACAGATGCGCTTAGGCCATTAATTCAATCTATTTTTTTCACTCCGTGATTCAATTTGTGTATTTGTGTAAGTCGGCAAAATGACGACTTGCAGCAGAAGCCGACATTCGCGTCAGTCGTCACAAATTCTCTGGTCCTGAGAGTGCCGTCTTAGCCGGAGTTTACTGTAAATTGCTCCGTTTCATCTTAAGTGGGGTAAGGGAACCAGACTACAAGAACATGATTGTTTTTCTTGGTTTTTCCACTATCTACGAACTCAAAACTTCAAACAAGTCAGTGTAACAATATTTGCTTTAACCCTAACCTCACCTAAAGCTACAAAATACTACCACATGTAGTAGTAAACTGTAGTATGCAGTACTTCAGCATATATACAAATGTAAGTGGGCATAGCACTCATAGTATTTTTTAGCTTTTGGGTACTGCATGTTTCTGTAGTACTATGTACTGGTAGTATGTGGTACATGTACCGGTACTTTACACCAAAGTAAGCTTATCCTAACCCCCCCCCCCCCCCAATCCATCCATTTACGTAGTTTTACATGAGCCGTACCGGTACGTCACAACTTCATAACCACAAATTTGGTATAGCCCCCTCTGTTGACCAAATCTGACCAGCCTGCAAACCAGACTGAATGAGACAATGTTACTAAGCCAAACCTGTACATGTACCGGTATGTGTTGATGACACTCGTCACTCGTGTTCATTTACTCATGAGTCCATTTTCTGTGTTTCTTTTATCCATGTGGTGTTGACAAAATTTTAATAACCACAAATGTGTTATAGCCCCCTCTGTTGGTCAAACCTGACCAGCTCGCTAACCTGACAATGTAACACTGTCAGTAGCACTATTAAAAGCCATGGCTGGCTCAGCTCACTCTGCATCGTGGCGCTAATCACATTTGACAAGCTCAGCTCCCAGCCTGATAATCCACTTAGAACCAGCTTGATTTGCTAGGGCCGCTACCTACAAACGACCAATATCAAATATTTGTGGCCAATTAACCGTGTCCCTTTTTGCAGTCTGTCTCGGGTTTGCGTGTACTTTGAGTAATCAGGTTAGGGAATCCAAAGACAACGCGGAATTTATTGCTCTTTATAATAAAAGTGGAAGCTGCGATCAAGGAAGAGAACATATAATATTGACATGGGGTTGTTTCAGTATCTGGTCTGCAGGCCGTAACTGTTTAAAGGTTATGTAGCTGTATGTATGCGCAGGGATAGACACAATGGATATGACCAGATGTTACTGTGTCATTGCACCTTGTGCCTTGCACTCATTTTTCATGTATGTGTGAAGTGAGGACTAAGGATGAGTCAAATGGGTTGATTAAAGAGTATTGTCAAAGTTGGAACACGCATGTCAACCAATTTTCTCATCAAAATTTATAATTTGGCACATTTAGACCGTTTCTTATAAATAGAACACTTGACTGAAAGCCAGGGCTAGATGCACGGTTAATCACAGCATATATGATGACATTTATTTTGGGATTAAT